AGCAGGCCTTATTTTGGAAGTGGATTCCACTCCTGCTTCCAAGCCTGTTTTATTATGGAGAGCCACAAAAAGCAGGCCTGAGGGCCATAGGCCCAAGGCCCAGAAGCCTTTTTAAATATTAGGACAAATCCAATTAGCTGTGCCCTGTTGTGAACTAAAGCCACATTCCAGTCTCAACCCCAAATCAGAAAACACACCGTGGCAGAATCTGGCTGCTCTGCTCATCTTCCCAGTCTGGAAATAGCCCCAGATTGGCAACCAAATGTCTTTTAAAATATGAGGCCAAATCCAATCAGCTCATGCTCTGTTGTGGACAAAAGCTACACACTAGGCTCAATCCCAAACCAGAAAACACACCTTAGCAGAATTTGGCTGCTCTACTCATCTTCCCATCCTGGAAACAGCCCATATATAAAGCCCCAGGAGTTGATGAAATACCAATGGACATATTACAAGAAACAGATGATGTCCTGGATTGTTCACCAAGTTGTGCCAAGAAATCTGGAGAACAACAACTTGGCCAACTGACTTGAAGAGTTCCACATTTATTTCCATTCTAAAATAAAAAGGTGACCCAACAGAGTGTGGGAATTGTAGAACAATATCACTAATATCACACACTAGCAAAATCCTACTGAAGATTATCCAGAAACGAGTGGAACAATATCTTGACAGAAAACTACAAGAAATACAAGCTGGATTTAGAAGAGTTCATGGCACTAGAGACATTATTGTCAATGTCAGATGGATCTTGGCAGAAAGCAAAGAGTACGAGAGGAATGTCTATCTGTTTCATTGACTATGCAAATCACAACAAACTGGTTACCCTTGAGGAGAACTGTAATCTCAGCACACTTGATTGTGCTTATGCAAAACCTATACTTGGACCAGGGAGCAGTCATCAGAATAGAGTAAGGAAACACTACAGGGTTCAAAATTGGGAAGGGTGGGGCTGGAATACAGTTTGGAAAGAAGTATGGAGCTGCCTGATTCTACAATGGTGTGTTTTCTGGGTTTTGTTGAGGCTTGGGTGTTGAGTGTTTGTTTGCAATTGAGTGTGAGCTGATGGGATTTGGCCTCGTATTTAAAAAGGCATTTGATCACCAGTTTGGGACTGGAATCCAGTTTGAAAAGATGTGTGAAGAAAAAAAAAAGAAAAGATGTGTGGAGCAGCTGTATTTGACAAACGTGTTTTCTGCATTTTGTTGAGACTTGGGTGTGTAATGTTTGCTCGCAATTGAGTATGAGCTGAATGGATTTGACATTGTTTTTAAAAAGATATTTGGTTGCCAGTTTGGGGCTTCAATCTAGTTTGGAAAGATGTGTGGAAAAGCCAGATTCCACTGGTTTTGATTGCTTTTTGTCAAACATTTTTCTAAGTGGTATAGCACTGGTCTGTCAATTTGTTGTACAGAGGTAAGTAGTAGTTGCTGTGATGCTGAACACTGTGACACTGATGTGTCAAATGTGATAATGGTTTCCCATGATGGACAGTCAGCACCTCTAGTGGTTAGAATTTACCAAAGCATATGAGTGATAAAGAGAGGAAATGCCCTCCCTGTAATTAATAACCTCAGAAACTCAAGTGAGGGTTAGTTATGTGTTAGTTCTGATGTCATGGCAGTAAGAGAAAGAGGGACAGAGACTGCATGCTAAAAATTAAATATTACAGGTACCATGCAACATTTAATCACAGTGACACTTAAGAATTTATATAAATACTGAATATTGTCATAATTTGAAATGAACTTACCTTTGCAATTATTATTGATTGAACTGGGTAGCAAATAGTTGCTCCTAAAGTGGCTAGTCCCAGTGGATAAGAAATTTTCTTAAATCCAGAACCTATAAAATTTATGCAAATTAATAACATCAAACACACAAAACAAGAGACTTGATGTTTCACAAACACATTATTGTGGTTCCCCTTCAATATATCATCCTATATTAAATTGTATTTAGGTAATAATACTGATTAAGACAATAGCTAAACCAATCTTGAGGATCTCAAGATCTTAGTCTTGAACTTAATCCCCTTTGTGGTTATATTCCATTTAATAAAAATGCTCTCAAACTACAGCTGATAATTATTTGTAATTTTGGTTTCTTTGTCAAGGCCAGTTATAATTTTATGTCCTAAGAAACCCAAAATTGTAACCATATTTTTTCAAGTATGTAGGAAAGCATGAAAACACACTAAAATAATTAACTATTGTATTTGTGATAGCATATTAAAATGAAATATCTTATATTCCTTTTTTAAAATAGTAACTCTTTGGGAAGATAAAATTTTCAACTACCTACCAGTTAATGACTTTGAAAGGTACATAATTCCTTCATGTCACTAAAAATGAAGTAATAATAAAATAATTGTTAAGCTGAGATAATTAATGCATTTCTGAAAGTGTCCTAACTAATTCTTCTTCCAAACAGGGATCAGATAAGGAAGTCTACCATCACCATTCTTATTGAATACTGTATTGGGAGTCCTAGCAAGAGAAATAAGGTAAGAGAAGGAAATAAAAGTTGTTGCAGACCAAGGGTAAAGTAATAATGAGACAGGCAATCAAGAATGAGATAAAAGAGAGTAAAGACATTTATTGAGAATCATCAGGAAGGTAAACAAAAGATAACCACAAGGGAGTAGAAAACAAAAACAAAGGATCAGGGGAAGTTTTTTTGCAGATAAGGTAGAGTTCTTCTCTATTATTTACCTTGCTAATCCCTCAGTAAATACAAACTAAGAAAGATGTTGACTCTTAAGGAATGCCTTAGTGCTTCAGGGTGAATTCCAGCTTGTATTATACCTCCCTTATATCCTGATAATCAGGGTATGTAATTCAACATTTAATTGAAACTTTTAATGTGATTGGTCTTCCATCAAGTATTAAAACTGATAACGTTCCTGATTTTAATTCTAAGAAAACACAAGAGTTTCTTAAAAAATGGAACATTAATCATACTACTCGTATTCCATATAACCCCCAAGGACAAGCTATAATCGAAAAGGCTAATTTGACTTTACAAACTATGCTGAAAATACAGAAGGGGGAAGATGTGATATCATCTCCTCAAACTCTTTTCTAAAAAGCCTTATTTACTTTAAATTTTTTAAATGCTAATGCAAAAGGAGAAACTCCATCTGAAAGGCACTGGGTATTAAAATCAATTAAAGAACTGAATCGGCCTATATAAGGAACCTCTAACTAATAAATGGAAAAAGGGATATGTTATTAGGTGGGAGTAAAGATTTGCTTATATTTCTACCGGCTCAGAAATAACTGTGAGTACCCTCCAGAAACGTGAAATCCCAAGATAAGTGGAAAGGGCCCACACTTTGAAGACAGATGCTTGGGAGGGTGGAGGGATGGTGCAGGAGGGGAAGGCCCTCTATGAGGTGGATTGATTCAGTGACTGGGGTAGTTGGGATGGGTGTGCTGGAAACAGTGAGATTGGCACAGGACAGAGCAAAGTTTAGGGTTGTTGTATGCTATACGGTCACAAGAGACTCCAGGGCACATAACAACAACAACAACAACAACAATACAAGTTCATCCAGAGACACTAAGGCATTCCTTAAGAGTCAATATCTTTCTAAGTTTGTATTTATGGAATCCCATCCCCTTGAGATTAACATAAGGTAAACAGTAGAGAAGAACTCTGCTTTCTATGCAAAGGACTTCCCCATAATCCTTTGTTTTTGTTTTCTACTCCTGTGTGATTATCCTTTGTTTACCTTATGCTAATCTCAGGAGGGAGGGATTCAGTGAATACAAACTAAGAAGGATGTTGACTCTTAAGGAATGCCTTAGTGCCTCAGGGTAAACTCCAGCTTGTATTGTTGTTGTTATGTGCCATTGCTTGTGACTCATAGTGACCCTATGTGCAACAGCCCTAAACTCTGCTCTGTCCTGTGCCATTCTCACCATCTCTGCCACACCCATCCCAATTATCCCAATCATGGAATCAATCCACCTCTTAGGGGGCCTTCCCCTTCTGCTATGTCCCTCCACCCTACCAAGTATAATGTCCCTCTCCAAGGATCTGTCCCTCCTTGCAACATGTCCAAAGTATGTTAGATGGAGACTCAGAATCCTTGCCTCCAAGGAGCAGCCCGGTTTGACCCTTTCCAGGATGAATCTGTTTTCTTAGCAGTACATGGTACCCTCAATACTCTTCTCCAGCACCAAAGCTCAAAGGCAACAATTCTCCTTCTATCCTCCCTAGTCACTGTCCAACCCTCTGATGCAAAACAAGTGATAGCAAAGACCATGGCCTGTATCAGGCACACCTTAGTCTCCAAAGAGACACCATTGCTCTTCAGTACTTTGGAGTGGTCCCTAGCAGCAGATTTTCCCATCACAATAAGTCTTCTGATTTCCTGGCTGCTGGTGCCGAGAGTGTTGACTGTGGAGTCAAGCAAACTGAAGCTGTGAACAATCAATCTCTTCACCATCCATCCTGATGCTGCCAATTGGCCCAGTGGTGAGAATCTTTGTTTTCTTGACATTGAGCCTCAATCCATACTGGAGGCTGCAGTCCTTGACCCTCGGCAGCAAGTGCTTCACGTCCTTCTCAGTTTCAGCAAGCAGGGATGTATTACCTGCATGTCTCACTTATATCCTGATACAGCATATGTTTTATTTTTAATATAAAATTTGATATTTGGCTTTCCACAATGAGTCGGCCAAATTGATAAGGGGAAAGTATAACCAGCTCTATACGTAGATAGATAGTTTGAATAGAATACCTTATTTAACAGGATACCCTATTTGATAGTATAGTTTAAGTAGAAAACCCTATATACTAAGCAAGAAAACCGTTAGACCTAGTAGACAAAATTAGTAAAAGTAGCAGGATACAAGTTCAATAATTATAATTTAAAAAAAAAACAACAGTCAGATATATTTCTCTACAGTAGCAACAAGAATATAGAAAAGGAAACAAGACAAAGATCTGGTATGAAAAACAATATATACGAATTTTGTAAGTAAACCAGTATAAAAGAAATAAAAAAGGAAAAACAATACCAATTACAATAGTTACCCACAAGATAAAATACTAAGGAACGAATCTAACTCAAGATGTAAAACACCTAAATAAACATTACAAAACACTACTATAAGAAAAAAGCCACAGCCTTACTTGCTAAAACTGAGGAGGACCTAAAGCACTTGCTACAGAAGGTCAAGAACTGTAGTCTTCAATATTGACTGAAACTTAACATCAAGAAGACAAAGATTCTCACCACTGGGCCAATTAGCAGCACCATGACGGATGGAGAAGAGATTGAGGTTTACAGTTACAGCTTGCTCAGCTCCTCAATCAACACTTTTGGCACTGGCAGTCAGGAAATCAAAAGAAGAATTGCATTATTTAAATCTGCTGTCAGGGGCCTTTCCAGAGTACTGAGAAGCAATGAAGTCAGTTTAGAGACTAAGGTGGGCCTGATCAAGTCCATAGTCTTAGCAATTACTTACTATGCATTCAGAGAGCTGGATAATGACTAAGGATGACACAAGAATTGATGTCTTTAAGTTGTGGTGCTGGAGAAGAATATTGGACATACCATGGATTGTCAGCAAATAGGTCTGCCTTAGAGAAAGTGAAATCAAGTTTCTCCTTCGAGGTTAGGATTTTGAACCACCATCTCACATTACTTTGGACATTTGGCCAAGAGAGACCAATCCTTGGAGAAGAACATCATGCTTGAAAGGGTGGAGGGACAGCACAGGAGAGGAAGTTTCCACAATAACTAGGGCAATGGGGGTAGGTGCGCTGGAGTCAGTGAGACTGGCTCAGGACAGGGCAGGCTTCAGAGCTATTGTATGACTATGAGTCACAGGCAACTTGATGGCACATAACAACAACAACCATAACCACATTTGTTCTTTTGGCAGTCCATGGAATATTCAGTACTCTTCTCCAACACCAAAATTCAAAGACATCAATTCTATTTCTGTCATCCTTATTCACTGTCCTGTTCTCAGATGCATAGCAAGTGACTGAAAAGACCATGGCCTGAATCAGGTGCATCTTAGTCTTTCAGCACACATTGCTCCTTAGTACTTTGGAGACTTTTCCAATGCATACATTTTTTATTGGTACTACTGGTATCAAGGGTGTTAACTGTGAATCCAAGAAAGATGAAGTCATTGAAAGTATCAATCTTTTTTTTTCTTTCATCTCTCATGACGTTGCCTATCAGGTCAGTGAAGAAGACTTTAGTCTTCTGGACACTGAGATGCAATAAATATTGAAGGCTGTAGTATTTGATCTGCAGCAAGAATTTTAAGTCCTACTTACTTTCAGCAAGTAAGGGTATCATCAGCTTAAAGCAGGTTGCAGATTAGTTTTCCTCTGGTTTTTATGCTACATTTTTCATAAAGATCAGCTTCTCAAATGATCTGTTTAGAATACAGTTTTAATAGGCACAAGGAAAGGATATAGCCATGACATACACTTTTCTGGATTTTCAGCTATTCCATGTTTGGGGCTCTGTTAATAGTTTCTTTGTCTAGCTATAGGTTACATTTGAGCACAATTAAGTGTCTGGGGATTCCCATTTTTTCAATGTTTGCCACAATTTGCTATGAACCACACAATCAAATACCTCTGTATAGTCAATAAAATATAAACAGACACAGTCTTATGGCAGTCTCTGCTTTCAGCTAAGATCCACCTGACATCAGCAACAACATCCCTGATGTCACAGCCTCTTCTTAACCCAAGTAAAACTTCTGGCAGTTCTCTTTGAATGTACTGTTCTAGCCATTTTTAGATAATCTTCAGCAATATTTTGCTTGCATATAATATTAAAGATACTGTTTGATAATATACACAGT